GAGAGGAGCAGCCCCAGTTCCAAGGAGCGGCTGCTGCGGGGCGCAGGAGGGCTGAGAGGAACTACTCCACGTTCAAGGTCAGGAGGGGCGGCCGTGAGAAGATACCCCTCAGCCAAGGTGAGGAGCAGCGGCTGCGCTTTGCTGGAGCAGCTGTAAAGAGATACCCCACGTCCAAGGTAAGAGAAACCCAAGTAAGATGGTAGGTGTTGCGAGAGGGCATCAGAGGGCAGACATACGGAAACCATAATCACAGAAAACTAGCCAATCTGATCACACGGACCACAGCCTTGTCTAACTCAATGAAACTAAGTCATGCCGTGTGGGGCCACCCAAGACGGATGGGTCATGGTGGAGAGGGCTGACAGAATGTGGTCCACTGGAGAAGGGAATGGCAAACCACTTCAGTATTCTCGCTTTGAGAACCCCATGAACAGTATGAAAAGGCAAAATGATAGGATACTGAAAGAGGAGCTCCCCAGGTGGGTAGGTGCCCAACATGCTACTGGAGATAAGTGGAGAAATAACTCCAGAAAGAATGAAGGGATGGAGCCAAAGCAAAAACAATACCCAGGTGTGGATGTGACTGGTGATAGAAGCAAGGTCCGATGCTGTAAAGAGCAATATTGCATAGGAACCTGGAATGTTAGGTCCACGAATCAAGGCAGTTTGAGACCACAGGTGGTCTTAATAGGATCAAATCCAGTTACTGGGGTGCTCACTGATTCGCCAGCCCCTCCCCACCTCTTGTGCTGGCTTCTCTATTTCACTCTCCCTGGGCCCTCACATAATCAACCAGCACCAAGTCCTTGCCTCAGGCTCTGCTTCAGGAAGGAGCTCAGGTTACTACATCAAGAGGTTAATGGTGGCCAAGTAACTAAGTTTATGACCTCAAAGACTGAAGATTTCTAAGGGGAGCAGCCAATTAGTATGACACATGCTAAGGATGAGCATACTATGAACAGCTAGCCTTTTTTTTTTTTTCAGTTCTTACTCTGTGCCCTACCCTGTTCCAAACCTTTTACATTCATTACCTGAGTTAATTCTCACAGCAGCTCCATGATGTAGGTAATATTTCTCCCTGTCCCTCTCTTCTTTCCCCCACCCCCTCAAGTGAGGGAACTGAACCCCAGGATTTCATGTAACTTACCCAGAGTCACACAATTAGCCCTGAGTCTGGGTATCCTCACCCTCAGCCTCTGTGATATACTGAGTTCCTCCAAATATTGTTCAGTCATGAAGCTGTGTCCTCCTCTTTGTGACTCCATGGACTGCAGCGCACCAGGCTTCTCTGTCCTTCAGTATCTCCCGGAGATTGCTCAAACTCATGTCAATTGAGTTGGTGATCCATCCAACCTTATTCTCTGTCTCCCCCTTCTCCTGCCTTCAATCTTTCCAGCAGCAGGCTCTTTTCCAGTGAGTCAATTCTTTGCATCAAGTGACCAAAGGATTGGAGCCTTAGCTTCAGCATCAGTCCTTCCAATGAATATTGAGTTTATTTCCTTTAGGGTTGACTGTTTTGATTTCCTTGCTGTTCAAGAGACTCTCAAGAGTCTTCTCCAGCACCACAATTCGAAAACATCCATTCTTTGGTGCTCAGCCTTCTTTAGGGTTGGTCAAAAGTTCGTTTGGTGTTTTCTATAACATCTTATGGAAAGAACCCAGATGAACTTATTGGCCAAACCAATAAAAATATCCACAGAAAGAAGGGGAAATTAAGCTCATGAATGCTGCTTTATGGCAACAAAATCCTCAGATTCGTCTGGACCTGTGTGTACAGCATAGCCCTTCCCACCCTGAATATGCATTCCTGCAAGCCAGTGCTGCTGTCGTTCTTTGCTGGGATTTAAGTCCCAGTTCAAGCACTTACCAAGCTGGGGATGACCCTGTGAAATTACTTACCTCATCTAAGCCTCGGTTTCCTTACCTGTAAAATCAGGTTAACAATACCGGCCCCAAGGGTGTTCCAGAGTTAGTGTCTAATTAGCTGATAACTATGATTTTTCTAGTCAGAAGTCCATTGTTGAGAATAGTTAAAACTGAGGTTCAGGCAACCCCCCCACCCCCGAAGAACAGAGTGGAGCAATTTTGGCCAAGTTATTTTGTGCCCAGAACCCCAGAAATGCCTCTTGGTTTTAATTGGACTTCACTTATAACTCCTGGGATGAGAGATTCAAACCAGAAATATTTTTGCCCCTCAAGTGGACTGAACGGAGGCTCCCCCATAAGTCCTAACACTTGGAACCCGTGAATATCACCTTACTTGAGAAAAAGGTCTCTGAAGGTGTAATTAATAAGTTAAGAATCTCAAGATAAGATCAACCTGGATCATCTGGGTAGTTCCTGAATCTACTGTGTGTGTGCTAAGTCACTCCCACCAATACTGGAGTGGGTAGCCTATCCCTTCTCCAGTGGACCTTCCTGATCCAGGAATCAAACTGGGTCTCCTGCATTGCAGGTGGATTCTTTACCAACTGAGCTATCAGGGAAGTCCTGTGAGAAAATACATGTCTGTTGGTTTAAGTCAGCAGTTTGTGGTCATCTGTTACAGCAATCCTGGGAAACTAATCCATTTCTCTCTTCTCCCCCAACTCAACCCTAGGTTGTCCTCTTGACAGAGAGCTGACCGGAAATGCAGCACATAAAGGCACGCCTCTGACATGAGCTAAATCTTGAGGACTGAGAAAGTCCATGGGAATCAATAGAAATGAATTTGCAGGCTTCCGGAAGCGAAGAGCAAATGTTAGTGGTAGTGGATAATAAATGGGTACTCATTGAGTGACCTTGCCTTTCTCCAGAGGTGACTGCAGGTGCTGTTTTCTTCAGACACCTTTTCAAGGTCACCAAGTTTTGTTTTGGAATTCAGGCATGGTTTTTGGTTTGTGTGTTTGCTTCTGAAACTTCAGTGGACATGGGGATGGGGAGATGATTGTCGTAAGCTTCCGGGATGCACTTAAGAAGAACACAGTGGTCAAAAAATTATTCTTTATTAAATGGTGTGGAAATGGGGGAAATAGCCCTTGCCAAAAAATGGCAAAAGCATGTAAAAACTTTCATTAGTCAGGATCCCACCTAACAAAACTCTTGTCTGATGACAGGATTGTATGTACCTGCAAAAGCCAAAGGAATAGTGTTTAAGCATGAAAAACAGTGAGTCACTTTGGGTAACCAGGTGAAACTTTTTAAAGTATCAATCAAGTTTGCTTTTTCTTTATGGAAATCAGCTTTGTAAAAAGCATCTTACCCTGAGATGTAGCCTACATCTTTAAATCTCAGAAGACAAGTTCAGAATAGACATATCCACCTTTAGAATTATTACTGTCTTCTGTAATATAAAAGAAAAATAATTCAGTAGACTTAGGATGTTGTTGTTGATGTTCAGTTGCTAAGTCATGTCTGATTCTTTGCAATCCAGTGGACTGCCGCATGCCAGGCTTCCGTGTCCTTCACCATCTCCCAGAGTTTCCTCAAGCTTGTGTCCATTAGGTCGGTGATGCTATCTAACCACCTCATTCTCTGCTGCCCTCTTCTCCTTTTGCCTTCAATCTTGGATATATATCTATAGAAGCTCTTTTAAAATTCTAATTTGGTAGCTGGGGGGCCTGATAAAACCAAGTATTAACTGTCTTTTTTTCCTGGACTACATTATGTGATTTATTCTTGAAAGCATTTTAGAAGTGCACTTGCATTGTTCTCTCTGGATTTCTTTTTATGTGATACACTCCCTACCATATCCTTTCCTCCTCCCCATCCACCCACGTCCTGATGAAATTTATTAGGCGCTGTGGTGCTGGTTGCTATTGGTTTCCTAGGGTGTGTCTGTTGCCCCCGTTCATCCCATCCTTGGGTTCCTAAAGCCAATGAAGGCCTCACAGAAACCACTGACCCCTTTCAACAGTGTCTCCTATCCCAAACTGTGGCTCACCCTGATCTCTTGGTGCCACCTGCTGGAACATGGGGTCAGCATAATGTATCTCCTGGGAGTATTCAGCCCCTGGGCAAAAGACAAGAAACAGAATTACTGGGTCTATGGTCCGAATCTCTGATCTCCTGAGGGCAGCGGCTTAGTCAGCTACACTTACAACGGCATGTCACTTCTGGACTTTGCACAGAGTACTTAGCATCTTGGGTACTGGAAACACATTGCTTTGGTTCTAAGCCTGGAATAGGCTTCTCATCTGTAAAATGGGGATGATGTAATTTGGGAGTTAGTGGTGTTTGCACCAGACAGAGCAGATAAGTCACTTAGCACTGTGCCTGGAACAGGCTGGCCCTCAGTCAGCATCAACATTGCCTGGGGTTGTTCTCTCTGTTGGCCAAGGCGCTGGGTCTGTTTACCATAAAGCAGTAAATGATGCCAGCTTTAAGAAGTGATCGTAAAAGTGATTGGAACACAGTGTGGATCATTCTGAACTGATATTAAAAAAAACCAAACTCCAAGATATGTTGTTAACTCAAAAAATCAGGTGTAGAATGGCATATCTATGACATGCTACCATCGCTACCATTTATTTAGATGCTAAAACACACATAAAATATTTGTAGAAGGATTTTAAAGTGGGATTGAGTGTTGGGGCAGGAGGGAGACACTATGCTCAGCTTCTTCAGTATTTTACCCATGTGTCTGTATGACCTTAAAAAAATTTAGAAGACAAAAACCCCAAACCAACCAAAATCTCAAACAAAATTCTCTTACCTGCTTGATTTTCACAGACATTTGCATATATTCCAGCTTCCATGGGTGTATTTCCGTAGACTCTGGGTGCACTATCTTTCATCGCTTTTCCTACGTAAGTTGGTGCAGAATCATTAAAATAAACCAATTCAGCCACATCTTTTTTTTCCCTGCTCCTCTATGGAGCAGAATTCCCCAAAGTTTTGGAAGAATGACCTTCTCAGATGGCCTAAAGTGTTGTCTATTAAAGGGAAATCGTGGGCTCAGCTAGGAGACCATACCATCTGCTTCTTCAAGCCAGGAGTCCTTCTGATTTATTTTCTCAGATCTGCAAATAACACCCTCTTCTTATCAGATTGTGCTTGAGATGGTCAGAGATATCTTTTCTTTCCTTCACTGAGAAGAATAGCCTGTAAAAAGCTTCTTAATATCTGCAAGAGCTACTAAATTACCCAACTGAGTTCCATTTAGCCCTGGTGAGTACTCAAGAATATTAATTCCACTTTTATAAGATCCTCAGATTTTTGTAGGAAGACGAGACCAGGTTTAAAAATTCATGAGATGCAATTAATTTCAGAGGATCAAAGTCATATCAGCCATCTTTTCTGACCACAATATATGAGACTAGAAATCAACTAAAAACTACCCAAAACAACAACAACAACAACAACAACCCACAAACATATGGAGGGTAAACAATATACTACCAAACAAACAATGAGTCACTAAAGAACTTAAAGAGGAAATAAAAAAACATACCCAAAGATGAATGAAAATGGAAGCACAACCATCCAAAATCTAAGGGACCGAGCAAAAGCAGCTCTAAGAGGGAAGTTTATTGCAATACAAGTCTATCTCAGGAAACAAGAGAAATCATAAACAACCTAACTTTACATCCAAAGGAAAGAAGAAAAGTTAGAAGGAAAGAAATATTAAAGATCAGAGCAGGAATAAGTGAAATAACAACTAAAAGAAAACAGTAGAAAAGATTGATGAAGAGCTGGTTCTATGAAAAGCCAAACAAAATTGATAAACCTTTAGCTAGACTCATCAAGAAAAAAGAGGGCTCAAATAAGTAAAATAAAAAATGGAAGAAGTAGGGAATCGGCGGGAGGCTCCAGAAGGAGGGATGTACATATAGTCATGACTGATTTGCATTGTTGTATGACAGAAACCAACACAACATTGTAAAGCAATTATCCTTCAGTTAAAAAAAAAAAAGGAATGCTTTTAAAGGAATTCACTGATAATTCTCCATGGAAGTAAATTCCATATTATATTGTCCAAGAAATTTAAAAAAAAAAATGAAAGAAGTTACAGCTGATAACCATAGAAATACAAAGGGTCGTAAGAGATTATGATAAACAATTGCACACCAATGAAACAGACAACCTAGAATAAATGGATAAATTCCTAAAATATACAGTCTCTTCAGGCTAACTCAGAAAGAAATATAAAATATGAACAGCCCAATTACCACTCAATATGAAATGGAATCAATAAGCAAAAGACTCCTAACAAATAAAAATCCTGGACCAGATGGTTTCACAGGTGAACTCTATAAAACATTGAAGAGGAAGGAACCCTTCCAAACTCATTCTACAAGGCCAGGATCACCCGGATCTCAAAGCCAGACAATGACAGGGACTTTTTGGTGGTCCAGTGGCTAAGACTCTGAGCTCATAATGCAGGGGGTCTGGGTTTAGTCCTTAGTCAGGGAACTAGATCGTTCGTGGTGCAACTAAGATCCCACATGATGCAACTAAAAAAAAAAAAATGATCCAAAGTGTCACACCTAAGACCTGGTGCAGCCAAAATGAACAACAACAAAACCCCAAACAACAAATACAGACAAAGACACCAGAAAAAAAAGAAAACTACAGGCCAATATCACTGATGAATGTAGATGCAAAAATCCTCAACAACATATTAGCAAACCAAATTCAACAATACATTGAAAGAGTTAGACCCCAGGACCAATTGAGATTTATCCCAGAGATACAAGGACATTTCAATATCCACAAATCAATCAGTGTGATATACCACACAGTATTTCAATATCCACAAATCAGTCAGTGTGATACACCACATTAACAAATTGAATAAAAGCCATATGATTATTTAAATAGATGCAGAAATAGCTTTTGACAAAATTCAGTATTGATTTATGATAAAAACTAAACAAAGTGAGTACAGAGGGAACATACCTCAACATAATAAAGACCATATATAACAAGCCCATGGCTAACATTATACTCAGTGATGAAAAGCCAAAAGCATTTCCTCTAAGATAAGGAAGAAGACAAAAATGCTCACTCTTGCCACCTTTATTCACAATAGTATTGGGAGTCAGCCGCAGCAATCAGACAAGAAGAAAAAAAGGAATCAAAATTGGGAAAAAAAAAGTAAAACTGTCACTGCAGATGACATGACACTATATAGAGAAAATCCTAAAGACACCGCCAAAGAACTAGAACTATTGAAACAAATAAATTATTTCAGCTAAAGTTGCAGTATATGAAATTATTAATAATATACAGAGATCAGTTGCATTTCTATACACCAACAATGAACTATCTGAAAGAGAAATTAATCCTATCTGTACTAAAAAGAATAAAATACCTAGGAATAATATAACCAAGAAGGTAAAAGACCTGTACTTGGGAAACCATAAGACACTGATGAAGGAAATTCATCAGTGCTGTTTGTGCTGAAGACAGCACAAACAAATGAAAAGATATACCATTCTTATGGATTGGAAGAATTAATATTGCAAATGGCTGTACTCCCCAAGGCAATCTACAGGTTTAATGAAATCCCTGTCAAATTAACAATGGGATTTTTCACAGACTTAGGCAAATAATTCTAAAATTTGTTTGCAAACACAAAACAACCTATGCTGAGAAAGAACAAAGCTAGAGGTATCATATTCTCTAATTTCAAACTGTACTTTGAAGGCACATTAATCAAAACAGTATGGGACTGGCACAGAAACAGACACATAGATCAATGAAATGGACTAGAGAGCCCAGAAATGAACCCCTATTTATATGGTCAATTAATTTACAAGGGAGGTAAGAATATACAGTCAGGAGAAGATAGTCTTTTCAATAAATGGTATTGGGAAAACTGGACAGCTGTATGTGAAAGAATAAAACTGGACTACTATCTCACACCATCTATAAAAATAAAGTGGATTAAGAACCTAAATGTGAGATTAGAAACCATAAAACACATAAAAGAAAACGTAGGTGGTATGCTCTTTGACACTGGTCTTAGCAATATTTTTTTTGGCCCTGTCTCCTCAGGCAAGAGAAGTAAAAGCAAAAATAAACAAATGGGACTACATTAAGCTTGAACAGTGAAGGAAATTATCAACAAAGCGAAAAGGCAGCCTACTGAATGAAGGAAGATATTGCAAATGACATGCCTGATAAGGAGTTAATATCCAAAATGTACAAAGAACTCATAGAGCTCAGTGTCAGAAAACCAAACAATGCAATTTAAAAACAGGCAGAGGAATTATATAGACATTTTCTAAAGAGGACATACAGATGGCCAGCAGGCACATGGAAAGATGTTCGAAATCACTAATCATCAGGGAAATGCAAATTGAAACTACAAAGAGATACCACCTCACACATCTCAGAATAGCTACCATCAAAAAGGTAACAAGTAACAAGTGTTGACAAGGATGCATCTTAAAGGAAACCATCATGCACTGTTGGTGGGAATGTAAATTGTTGCAGCCACTATGGAAAACTGCATGGAGGAGTCTCAAAAAAATAAAAAATAAAAATGATCCAGCAATTCTACTTCTGGGAATTTTTTCTGAAGAAAGAGTTCATTGACGAATGAATGAATGGATAAACAAAGTTTGTATTATGTATATACACTTGTGTGTGTATAATACATATACACATATGTATAACTGATTATTCAGCTTTTGAAATGAAGGAGAAAAAAAATCTTTTGCACCAAAAGGCTTGTGGGATCTAAGTTCCCCAACCACAGATTGAAGCCGTGTCCCCTGCAGTGGAAGTGCAGAGTTCTAACCATTGGGCCACCAGTAAAGTCCCCCCAAATGAAGGAAATTCTGACATGTATACAACATGGATGAACCTTGGGGACATTGTGCTAAATGAAAGAAGCCACCTACAAAAGGACAAATATGGTGTGATTCCACTTACATGAGATTTCTAAAATCAATTCTTAGACAGGAATCGGAATGGTGTTTGCCAGGGGCTGGGAGGAGAGAGAAATTAATAGGGACTTACACTGTTTGACAGGTACAAAGTGTCATATTTGCAAAGTGAAAAAGTGGATGGCTGGTGATGGTAGCCCAGGAATGTGAATGTACTTAATGCCACCGAACTGTATACTTAACAATGGCCAAGGTGGTAAATTCTATTGTTATGCATATTTTACCACAATTTTGAAAAAGAATTTTTTTAAAAATTAAAAAAAAGGTAAAAAGGTATTACAGATTTTAAGACAATGACATCAGAGCATTAAAATGTCTTCTTAGCGCGGGGTCCTATGTGACTGCACAGGTAACACACCCACGAGCAATCTAAATAGGGAAGGCTTCACCAGAGAAAAGAGAACTGTGCTAAATGTGAACAGTTTGGGAAGTTCTTCGTTATCTTCTCGTTTTGCGTCTTTTCCTTCTCTTTTCATTTTCTTCACGTCCCATTTCTGATTCTCCTTTCCCTTCCTCCTTACCCTCTCCCCTGCTGTCTGTCTCCAAAATCCAGGGAAAGTGAAAATATTAGTCGCTCAGTCGTGTCCAACTCTTTGTGACCCCAAGGACTATATAGCCTGCCAGGCTCCTCTGTCCATGGATTCTCCAGGCTAGCATACTGGAGTGAGTAGCCATTCCCCTCTTCAGGGGATCTTCCCCACCCAGGGATTGAACCTGGGTCTCCTGCATTGCAGGCAGATTCTTAACTGTCTCAGCCACCAGGGAAAACAATGGCAAAGCTCCTAAGGAACTTACTTGCTTTGTACTTTGGTAGCATCCAAAATACTAGAATTAGGATGATTACTATTAGCACCAGTAATAACCCCGGAAGCAGGAACTGCAGGCAGAATGGACCGCAGTCTCCTCCTGAAAGAAGAAGAAGACAGCATTCACTGGTCACTGCACAACCTGCTTTTCCAATGATACTGAATTGTGGAATGTTCTGGAAAGGTCGATCATGACTGTCTCCCAAGTTAGCCAAGATACCATGAACCCTGGGTCCCTGCCCTATGTGGACACCTGTAGCACCTGAGAATTAACTTGTTAATGAAGTTCTAAAAGTCATATCAAGTCCATCTTCCACCAAGGGTCATTTACAGAGGAAAAAAATAAGCACAGCATTTAACAGACAGATTGTTGTCTACATCATTAGGGTCATAAATCTGAGAACAGCCTGGCCATTTGCCAGGCAAAGTCTTTAGTCATGTTGGCATGATCTACGTTACCCGGCAGCTGTCACTTATTATTGACTATGTGCAGACATTGTGTTAAGTACTTTATGTGCATTGCCTTATGTATCTCATTGGTATTATTCCCATTTTACAATTAAGTAGAATAAGACTAAATTAAGTAAAGTTCCCATTTTACAATTAAATAAGAGTACGTGACTTTTCTAAGGTCACACAGCTAGTGAATGGAAGGCAGTGATTTGTAGGCAAAAGGCTGACTCTGGGGCCTGACTCCTACAGGCTGCATCACTTGTTAGAATTCACTGAACACCCAGATGTGGGCTCTGATCTTCTGAGGATGAGGTGTTTAATGCCCTGTGTGCCTGTTACCCTTGATAACCTAATTTTTTTTTTCTCCTCCCACCTGGACCAGTGTCCCTTACATCAGGCCAGGTTTTTGTTTTTTTAATTTTGTGGCCATGCACCCTGAGGGGTCCCAGTTCCCTGACCAGGGATCAAACCCATGCAGATTCTTAACCACTAGACGGCCAGGGACGTCTCTAAGGGTAGGTTTAAATCTGGAATTCTCAGACTCGGAGTTCTGTGCTGAAACATGACATTGTAAAGAGAACTGGCTCTAGCTCTGGCCTGGTCCCATCCCACCCAGGCTCTGATTCGCGCCCTAAGGAACCTGACAAACACATAGACAGCCCCTGCCTGCATGGCCAAATGTCGTCCCTCACCCCCCACAAATAGCTCCCTTGGCTTGAGTCCAGGAGTGCTCACATCCTCACGGTGGTCTGCCCTTGGGAGGACGAGCCGGGAAAGAGATGTGCACAGGCCCTGGGAGGTGGGTTCTGATCTGATGGGGTAGGGAATTCAGGTCTAGGAAACTAGAGTGAGGTACAGAAAAGTAGAGATACAAGGTCCAGGCAGGCATCCCTATGGCTTATGGGAAACTGATTGGAAAGTGTGTGGTTGAGAAGAATCCAGGCAGCATCTTCCGAAACACAAGACTGGGACAGGAGCCGCTCTTGCCCCCAATAGAGAAATCTAGATTCACCAAGCATTACCAGCAGGGCATTCAACAGCCAAGCAGGAAGGTACTGGTGTTAGAAGTGAGGTTTTTTTTTTAATGATTTTAAAAAGCACAGGAAAATCAAGAGACCCCAGCAGCTTCAAGAGATGCAGGACTTCCTTGGTGGTGCAGTGGATAAGAATCCGCCTGTTAGTGCACGGGACACATGTTCGATCCCTGGTCCGAGAAGATTCCACATGCCTAAGCCTAGAGCAGCACAACTTCTCAGCCTTCGTGCTGCAGCCACTGAAGCCCGCGTGCGTAGAGCCTGTGCTCCACAGCAAGGGAAGTCACTGCAATGAGAAGCTCGTCTCTGCAATGAAGAGTAGCCCCCACTTGCTGCCACTAGAGAACGCAACGAGCTAAAGAAGGCCTGTGCACAGCCATGAAGACCCAGCACGATCAAAACAAATAAATAAATGAAAATAGTGCTTAAAAAAAGGAAGTGAAAACAAAGAGAGCTACAAATTCTAATGTGATTGCTTAGAACCTGAGCAGGAAACAGAGTCAGTTCAGGAAGTCTTACTGCAAGGTCGCTTCCTGCCCCACTCTCTAGGTTTTTCTATGGTTGCTTTATGGCAGAAAGCAGCCCCATCAGAGCATATGGACCCTACAGAAGGAAAAGCACTTAGAAGCAGGTGAGCAAAGTGGGAAATGGTGGGCAGAGGAGAGGCTGCAGTTTCTGGAAGTAAATCCAGACCCTGTTGAACGAGTTCAGGTAGCTCTTACCTGTTGAGGCTATGGTGACAGGTTGACTGTATTTTGCATGGTTAGGCAATCTGTTTTTAGCTTTACACCTGTACTCTTTCACTTCTGCAGTGTTACTCTCGGTTATGTTAAATTCAGCAGGCTTCCTTACATTCTTGGAAATAACTGGTGATATGTTGATGTTTTTTTCAAAAAAAATATAATCGATGGGCAGAGAGCCGTTGAATGAGATGCAGCGTAGCGCTATATATCGGTCTGTTTTTGTTTGAATGACGCTAATGTTCAGCACTGGTGCAGTCACTGGGTCTAGAAAAATGAAAATGCACGTTAAATGGCTAAGCAGATTGGATTTCCTCACTCTGTCCACAAACATGGATGGAAACCCTACTCTATTCCTGGCTGTTCACCCAAAAATGAACGACACCCATTTTGTGAAGTCAAACTGCTCACAAGAAGCTCCATGGGGAAAGATCAATAGGTATGTGGTTAATCCCATGTATCCTGGCATGAACCAGGTTCTGAGAAAGCCAGAGAGTGGAGAGCATCTCTCTGCTTTGAGGAGCTGGAGTGCAAGCTTGCCTTTTATCAGAATTCACCATTTGTTTGTGGTTGATGGTATAATTTTGTCAAAGATCCAGCTTCAAGTATGTAGTTGAGAGGTGCTTTTAGTCCTAATCCTTGTAAGATAACAATTTTTTTTTTAAATCAAGGAAATCTAAAAATACCATCTTTTCTCACTGTACTGTCATTTGTAGAATTCAGCTGTTGAGTCATCTTCCAGTTCCTCCCCGAAACAGGAAGTAACCCTGATAAATAGGGTTAAGGGAAATTCTTGACCAGAAACGAGTGAGTCTGGTAGGCTCTGTCAGATCATACCATACTTCATGGGAGAATTCAGCTCTGTAATTTGTTATATAGTTCTTTAATGAAGCAGGATTATAGGGAAAGAAAGATAATGAGTATCCTTCATGTGTTGGGGTCACTACCCACGTTATCTTAGTTCACTTCACAGCAGCACACAAGGTGGACAGCATTAAGCTCATTCCACAGATGACTCCATTGAAATTCAGAGACCACATAGCTAATAAATGGCAGAGACAGGGCCAAATCCCAAGCAGATACTTTTGTTTTTAACAGTAGTGTGCCAATTTGACAACTGGGTGCAGAAACAATGAAACATGTTTCATTGTCTAAGTCAAAGGAAAGAAACTAACAAATTAGAGTCTTCTTGCTCCATCCCTCCCTCCCCTGAGCAGGAATCCCGGTGGCAGCATCCTTGACAGAGTGGTACCCAGGAATGGGAGCCTCAAAGAGCAACTTTGTTTGGGAACAGCATCAATAGACTGTTCTTCCTACGAAAAACTACTTCCTGAAATCTACTTCCTGCAACTTTCAGGAATTGAAGTATTCATGATGAAGCAGAGAGCATGGACTTCTCTCTAAGATAAGATGACTCAAACTAGAATAAGGGTTGATATCTAAATTTAGTGGAAAGATGTAAACTTCCCTCAGAGTTTGTAAAAGGACTGGTAAAGGGCATCACAGCATCACTGTGATCAAGGGAAGGGAGTTGTAACTCTTCCATAAATCAGTTCTGTTTTTTAAATTAAAGGAGTCCTTTAAGGCTCTTTCAGATGCCACCTTCCCCATTAAACTTTTCCTAAATCCTCCAGGCAAAAGTTCTCCCTCTTCTGTCTCCTCCAGCACTTGATCCCATCCTCATACTACTTTTTCTGCCTCTTATTTCATGATCCACTTGAATGTCTCCTGGCCACCTCAAGCATAACCTCTTGAAACTGAACTCTAGTTAATCTGCTAGTTAATGAATCAATCGGTAGGTAGATAAACATTAATAAAATTATATTCTTTTAAAAAATGTTTTCATTCATTCAGTCATTCATTTAGTTCTTATGTGCTAAGAACAGTTAACATGAGATCTACCTTCTTTTTTTTAAATTATTTTTTATTGGATTATANTATTCTTTTAAAAAATGTTTTCATTCATTCAGTCATTCATTTAGTTCTTATGTGCTAAGAACAGTTAACATGAGATCTACCTTCTTTTTTTTAAATTATTTTTTATTGGATTATAGTTGACTTACAATGTTGTGTTAGTTTCTGCTCTACAACAAACTGAATCAGTTATATATATACATACATATATATATATGTATGTATGTATCCACTCTCTCAGTTTCCATAGAGCTCATTACAGAGTATTGATAGGGTTCCCTGTCTATACCGTAGGTTCTTTTTTTTTAAAATTGGAGTATAGTTGCTTTAGCACGTGTTATTTTCTGCTGTACCATGAAGTGAATCAGCTCTATGTATACATACAGCCCCTCCCTCTTGGACCTTCCTTCTAGCACACCCCTGTCCCACACCTCTAGGGTGAGCCCTGAGCGGAGCGCCCTGCGCCTTGAAGCAGGTTCCCACTATCTGTTTCACACGTGGCAGAGCACACACCATCAATCCCAATGACCCAATTCATCCCACCCTGCCATATTCACACATCTGTTCCCTGTGTCTGTGTCTCTACTCCGGCCCTGCAAATAGGTTTGTTTGTACCATTTTTCTAGATTCCACATATATGCAGTAATACATGATTTTTTTTTCCTCTTTCTGACTTTACTCTGTATGATAGACTCTAGGTCCATCAAACTGGTCAGAATGGCCATCATCAAAAACTGTACAAACTATAGGGACTTCCCTGCTGATCCAGTGGTTAGGAATCTACCTTACAATGCAGGGGACGTGGATTCAATCCCTGGTTGGAGAACTAAGATTTCATGTGCTACCGGGCTACTAAGCCCAGGAGCCCAACTACTGAACCCAAGGGCTCTGGAATCTGTGCGCCACAATGAAAGATCCCGCACGATGCAACAAGGATCCCATGTGCTGCAACTAAGACCTGATGCCGCCAAATAAATAAATTAGTATTTTTCTTTAAAAAGTTTACAAATGATAAATGCTGGAGAGGGTGTGGAGAAAAGGGAACCCTCTTGCACTGTTGGTGGGAATGTAAATTAATACAGCCACTATGGAGAACAGTATGGAGTTTGCTCAAAAAACTAGGAATAGAATTGCCATATGACCCAGCAATCCCACTACTGGATTTATTTGGAGAAAACTATAATTCAAAAAGACACATGTACCCCAATGTTCATTGTAGCACTGTTTACAATAGCCAGGACATGGAAGCAACTGACAGGTCTAATGACAGATGAATGGATAAAGAAGATGTTGTACACATATATACAATGGGATATTTCTCAGTCATAAAAATGAATGAAACTGGGTCATTTGTAGAGATCTACCTTCTTAACAAATTTTTAAGTGCATAGTACAGCATTGTTAACTATAACCAAAATTTTATACCCATTGAACAACTTCTATTTTTGCCCCTCTCAGTAAATGACTGTCCATCAACTGATCACAGTAGACACCTGAGAGTCATTCTTGACTCCTTCCTCACCTTTACTACCTATGATTCCAAACCTAATCACTCAGCAAGCCCTGTTGTTTCTCCCTCCAAAGTCTGTTCTGACCCTGTCCATTCCTTTCCATCTCCCCACTGTTTGTCGCCTGGATGACTGCAAAAGCCTCCCAGCCAATCCCCAGCCTCTACCCTTGCCCTGCCCCACCCAGGAAGAATTAACTTCAAAGATGATAAATGGGGTCATAGGTCTGATTTGGCTCTCCCCTCCCCTTTCCAGTCTTACTTGAGGTCACGGTCCCCTCATCTGACCTCCAGCCATACCAGTGGCATATTACACCCTTCCCAACAGCCAAGTTCTTCCTCAGGGTGGAGCCCCCAGCACAGGGTATTGTCCCTTGACTAGAGCCTTCTTTCACTGTAGCAAATCATTTCTCATCTTTCAGGGGTCCCCTGAAATGCCATCCCCTTAGAAAGTCCTTCCATAACTATCTTTTTTTTTTTTTTCTTCTATAACTATCTTATCTGGGCTTCCCAGGTGGTGCTAGGGGTAAAGAACCCATCTGCCAGGACTTCCCTAGTGGTCCAGTGGCTAAGACCCTACAGGTCTAATCCCTGGTCAGGGAACTAGATCTCCATATGCCACCACTAAGACTCCTGGGCAGCCAAAAATTAGAACCCCATCACTGTGCCAGTTTCTTTTTCTTTGTAACCGTCAACACAGTTTGTGATTATGAATTTATTTGACTGGGTACTTGGGTTTCATGCCACCTCAATTAGACTATAAGCTCCACCAAGGCAAGAACTAATGTATATCCAGGGCTTGGCACATTGGGGATATCATTAAATATTCAATGAGTGGATCAAAGATGAATGAATCTGTATTCATGGCTCATATTCCTTACTGAGTTGGGAACAAGATCATGATTTAGGTGTCATCGAAACTCTGGCAGCATGCAAGATAGTTATTCACATGGGGTAGGCACTCAATAGATGTTAGTCTGACTTAAATGAAGATGATACAGGTTTATAATCTATAAAAAATTCTATCAGACAGTGGAATTACTGCTGGAAACACATTGCAGGAAACTAGTGCATGCATTTACTTTGAAGGCAGGATGTGGGAAGACTGTACACCTATCTGTGGGACAGATGCTCAGGAAATGAAGACTGGGTTGTTTTTTTTTTTTTAAATCCATTGATTTAAGGCTTCAGCCTTGCACAGGAAGCTAGGGGTATACATGGGTTCCCTGATGCCCCATGCATTGCTTTTTCTGCAAATCCAGGCCCAGTCCAGCAGGACTCTGACCACCAGAGAATATTATCAGCTAGGGCACTGCCCTCACATTATGTACCACATCCTAGACCTTGTTTACATGGTTGTCTTCTTTTTACATTTCTTTTACAGTTATGGCTTCAATTGAGTTTGTGTTCAAATTTGTCCTAAGATGGTTGGTTCTTATTTTTTTTTTTATTTAATTAAAAAAAATTTTGGCTGTGCCACACAGCATGTGGGCTCTTAGTTCCCGGACCAGAGAACGAACCTGTGCCCCCTATACTGAAGGCCTGTAGTCTTAACCACTGTAGTGCCAGCGGAGTCCCTGAGATGGCTCTAACCCAGAGTCCATGGCATCCCTTGTAGTCTTCTGCAGAAGTTTGCATCGGTAGTCTCATGAAAACATCTCAGGGAAGTTAGTATGGATGGTAGTATCCATCACTATCATTACACTGTTAAAATGGTTATAACCTAAAAAGCTAAGAACCATTGACCTGAGTAGAGGCATCCAATAGAACTTTCTGTGATGACGGATATGTTCTGTGTCTGTGTTGTCTAATACAACAGCCACACAACACCTAAGGCTTCTGGGCTCTTGAAGTATTTCTAACGAGATGGAGGAACTGCATTTTTTAATTTCACCTAATTTTAACTAACGAATTTAAACTTAAATAACAACATGTGGCTAGTGGCTACCATGCAAGAGAGCACAGACCCAGAGAATCACTCAAATACTCGATCAGTAAGTCAGGGGTCCTCTGTTTGGAAGACTCCAGGTACACGTATTACCCGGAAACCCTCTCTCCCTCGCCCAGCAGTCCAATATCAAGGTCACTATCATGGATGAGGCCATTAATGCTAGGCTGTGAGAGGCTTGGGGTGGGAAGATGGGAGAGAGAAGATGTGGTTGGGGAGTTCCCTGGGGGCCTAATGGTTAGGATCCTGGGCTTTTCCTGCTGTGGCCTGGGTTCAAGCCCTGGTCAAGAAACTGAGATCCCACAAGCTGAGGGTAGTGCGGGGGAAGGGGAGGGAAAGAGGTGGCTGGGCAGGAAGAATGCTGGCCAATGGCCGTCGTAAAGAGAAGGAGCTGGGGAAAGTCTGGGGCTCTGAAGACCCTTGCCACGGGGTCCAATACTGGTTCTAAGACTTCTTACTTGAATCTTCAGAGAAAAAGTCTTTTTTCGTGTGTGCCTATATGACAAGAATCCAGAATAAAGCATTTAGAAAGGATTTTAACAACTTTCTCAACTGTTGATGTAAGACTTTTAGTCTTAGGCCATCAGCCTAATATCATCTGAAATGACTAAACATCTTTGGGAGAGAAAGTGAAATGGAATTATGAAGAAACAAGTGATCTTGTTTCTTAAACAAGATCTCAATGACATATATGCTAGGATCTTGAGAGAGTGTTAACTAACAGAACAGAGAGTCCACCCTAGAATAGGAAACACAGGGCCCCTGAGTAACAAGCGTTCCACTTACCGACAAGTGTGAAGTTGAATGGCTGACTGTATTTTGCACAGTTAGCAACTTGGACTTTGCATTTGTAGGGGCCCAGATCACGGGCTTCTGAGATTGTTAGGTTAAAAGTCACGGGTTCACCTTTTCCATCCTGGGTTTGCAGGCATTTCTCATCCCGAAACAAAAAATAGGTGATCTCTAGTGATTTGTTCTGTTGGAAACACGATAGAGATACATTCTGACCCCACATGACTGTGTCCGTTTGTGAGTACAAACTTGGAGAAGGGAATTCTGGAAAACAAAATAACACAAGAGAAAGTCCTTTTTACCATATAATGATAATAACCCCGTGGTTGTCAACCCACATTTTGTGGGTCAAGGTGGTGGAGACCCTCTTTTCCTGGTGAACTTCCCAGAGGTGGGGGGCATTTCTTGTCTGCGCATCCAGGCTGGACAGTGTGTGAGGAAGTCTCGGCACCTCCAGAGGCCTCTCCCAGTGAGAGACAGGTGACCTCACCAAGCTCTTTTGTTCTGGCTTGGAACTTACTGGCCACTGGTACACTCTATATGTGTACCAGACAAGGCCCCCCATGACCATATTAAATCGAGACAAAAAGACCAAATGACTCCTGTCTGAATACAGATGAACGTTGTCCAAGACACAAAAATGGTTAAATACCCCTCTAAACTGGCTAGTATGGTTGACAGCTGCTTCTTTATCAGTCACGGTTTTTGCCTGCACTGCTTATCTTTCAGATAAGGTTTATTTTATTTTTAATTAATTAATTTATCTTACTTGGAGGATAATTACAATATTGTTATGGTTTTTGCCCTGTATCAACAAGAATTGGCCAAAGCTTATACATGTATCCTCCTATCCTGAAACCCCCACCACCCTCTTCCCCTCCCTATCCGTCTAGGTTGTCCCAGAGCCTTGGCCTTGGGGGCTCTGCTTCATGCATCAGTCTCACACTGGTCATCAGATAAGAATTACTAAGATTCCCAACCGTGTCGCTGTTTCCATTTCCTAAAAGAGTTCAATTCAGGGATTTCCCTGGTGGTCCAATGGCTAAGACTCCATGCTCCCAATGCAGGGGGCCCGGGTTTGATACTTGGTCAGGAAACTAGATAAATTAAAAAAAGAGAGAGAGACAATCCAATTCAGAGTAAATCCTGCTGCCTCAAATCTTCCTCCAAGTTACCTAACACAAATCTTACTCAAGGAGGCCCTCTTGCTCATTCCCATGGTACACATTTTCCCTCAAAACCCAACTTTGTTCAACTACACATGTGTCTCCAGTGATCTTTGGCTGGAGGACATTCGTATTAATAGTTTTTATCTCTAAAAAGTAAGGACTCTTTGGTAAAAATAATAATACCATTATCCCACCTGAAAATTAACAATACTTAAAAAATATTACCAGGGATCTAGTTACTGTTCAAATTCCCCCAACTGTCTGATTTTTCTTTTAGGATCCATGGTGATCTGTTGTAATTAGTTGAAATGTTTCTTATGTCTTTTTTCATCGATAGATCTTTCCGTCTCTTTTATTCCCCCTGCACTTTATCTGTTGAAGATAGCAAGTTGTTTGTTCTGAAGTGTTTTCCATGGTCTGGATTTCTTTAATTACATTCGCAGGGTGCTCCTTTACCATGTTCTATCTCCTGTCCCGAGGCTTGATGAAATTCAGATTAGCTTTTATTTAGCAAGAATGCAACTTAGGGGGTAGATGTACTTCCATTAGGAGGCACATAATGTCTGATTATCTCTCTCTTTTGTTTGTTAGCAGGCTTTGACAATGGTTACCCAGAAGCATTATTTCACTGAGCTTCTTAGGTGGCACAGGGGTAAAAGAATCCATCTGCTGAGGCAGGAGATGCAGATTCAATCTTTGGGTGAAAAAGATGCCCCTAGAGGAGGGCAGGGCAACCCACTCCAGCATTCTTGCTTGGGAAATTCCATGGACAGAGGGCTACAATCCACGGGGTCCCAAGGAGTCAGAAACACGCCTGAGAACACACGTGCACACTTATAATTTCATTAGAGGTTGCAAAATGGGGATATACCAGTTCTTTTTCATTTATAACCCATAATTATCTGAAGAGAAATACCCTTGTCAACTCTTTGGTTACACCGTGGTTCGGTTTGTATAGAAAAGGGAGGATAAATGCTTGATTCTCTTCTGTTATTGATCAATTTTAAAAAATAATGAGTTGGTTTCCTGGTATCTTATAACAGTGAGATGTTTTTCCTTTATTATTGTTATTTTTGTTTAAGAATCATTGTGAGCTCATAGATGTAAACGTATTTGATGTGTCTCAACCTATTACATTATTACTCAACCTATTACAGTTATTTTATTCTTATAGCCTCTCTAAATGGCCTTCTAAATCTTTTTGCCACAATCCTAGTAATCTCTGATAGCTTGTGTGTTTGTATTTTATTATTTAAAAATGCCAAGGGAAGAAATAATCCTCATCAGAAAATCTAATGTTAAAATTTAAGATTATAAAAGAATTAAGAGAAATACACAGAAACGTTTTTATATCATCTGTTGGAAAAGGTCTTCCAAGTAAGACCCACAAAATAGGAACCATAAAGAAAAGACTGAAAGAAATAACTATTCTAAAACTTTAAATTCCTCCATGGCAAAATTAAGACAAGTGAAAGCCTAGAAGAAAGTACTTAAAACATAAACAAGCATAGGATTCTTTTAATATACATAAGATAAACGTGTTAGTCATTCAGCCATGTCTGACTCTTTGGGATTCCATGGACTGTAGCCTGCCCAGGCTCCTCTTGTCCATGGGATTCTCCAGGCAAGAATACTGGAGTGGGTTGCCATTTCTTTCTCCAGGGGATCTTCCCAACCCAGGGACGGAACCCAGGTCTCCTGCATTACAGGCAGATTCTTTACCATATGAACTACCAGGGAAACCCTCATATACATAAACCAATAGCAAATTAATAAGGAAAAGACAATCAAAGAAATGGTCAAATAATACAAATAGGTAATTCCCAGAAGAAGAAATAGTGTTCAAGGAATGGCTTGGGTGAGGAGGGGTTTAGACCCCTCAAGAACTCTAGCAATCTACACTTTGATCTGGACAATTAATATTTTCTCAGTCTTATGTAAGTTCAGATTCAAGATAAGACCTCACCTCTCTTTCCAGCCAGATTGCCATCCCTAAATGTCCTTTATATGGGCATGCTGGAGCTTTCATAGTCAACAAACATGAGAAGAAGCACAGCTTTATGAGTGATGAGGCAACCACGAACTAAAACAACATTGAGATATTATTTTTGTACTCATCAGATTGACACAAATTTAAAAAATTGATTGTATCCACTGTCGGAGAGAGGGTGAGAGTCTCACACTTAACCCATGTCTGTGGTCAGCATTGGTGAACATGCACTAGTTCAGCGTGTTAGGAGGGCAACTTAGCATTATCTGTAACAATTCAAATGGACATGGCCCTTAGACCCAGCCGTTTCACTTCTAGGATTTTATCCTACGTGAACTCTCACACGCTCATGTGTCCACAAAGGATGTTTACTGCACTACTGTTTCTATGATAAGGAATAAAATGGAACAGCCAATAAGGGAATGATGGTTCAATGAATTATGACTAAGTCCTACTGTGAAATGCCACGCAGCTGTTGAAAAGAAGGGAGTTAAATCTACAACTTCCTCTTAGATAGATGTCTGGGACATGTTAATTTTAAAAAGAACAGGTCACAGAAGAGTTTGTTTGCTTTGATATTGGAGTGGAAAGAACTGTTAATAGTGGTTGCTTCTGGACACAGAGATGGGAGAGGGACTGAGGGGATCTGTTTATAGCAGAACGTTCACCTTTTACAGCATAGTAACAACACGACCTGGGCTAGCATTTACTGATGGCTCCCCATGCACTCGGCTCTGTGCTGAGGGACATGGCTTGTCTCAGTCTTCACAACAGCCCTCCCAGGGAGGTGCCTTTATTTTCCCCCCTTCACAGAGGATAGAAATTAAGCTTAAAGTGGTTTTCATCATGTGCCCAGACTACCAGCTGGAAAAGGGTAGAAACAAGGTTAGGACCACAACAGGCTGGCTCTATGATGATAAACTGCCTCCCAGGATATGTTTTTAGTGATGCCTGAATTATTTTACAAAACAACAGAGAAAGAAAAAGCCGTTTAAATTGTTTTAAAAAAACAATCTCAACATTTTGTTTCTTAGTCTCAGGAAAGATTCTCTGACTCCCTCCCTAAAATCACTTCATTTTAAACAAACAATACAAAGTGGAAAAACTCTCCTCTTTGGTTGTTCATCAAAAAGCACAGAGAAACCTGCCCATGACAGCGCACGATTAAAGCTGACTGTCTCATCGTTTCAGTGAAAGCGGCTTGAGTACAACAGAGAAGTAAATGAAACTTACCATTTGTTTTTCTCATTCTTTCACAATCCAGTGCAACCTTTTGAATTGAAAGAGAGAAAAGGAACACGAGAAAACTCTTTTTCCACATGGCGTCTTGGTTTGGAGATTCAAGCTTCGAAATGGTAAGTGACAGAAAGAAAAATGCCCCAAAGAACAGCTTGTTTAAATAGCCCCACATTGTCTTGAATGAAATCGGGGAGGAGGGCAAAGGAGTCTTGATGGCCACCCTGCCTCCCATCAGTGAATCATAGAGAGAACTTCCTCTTTTTCGACCAAGTTAAAGAAATCGGAGTTGTATGGACTAGCCTGATGTGAGATGACTGGTTGGTGTGACCCTGTGTGCCTCTGTGAGCACTGTAGGCAGAGAGGGATGTGGCAGGTTGCTCTAATTCAGGCTGGCAGGGAAGCGGACAGTGGGAAAAAGAAAAAGCGTTGCCACTATGGGCTTCCCTGGTGGCTCAGTGGTAAAGAACCCGCCTGCCAAGGCAGGAGACCCGGGTTCAATCCCTGGGTGGGAAAGATCTCCTGGAGAAGGAAATGGCAACCCACCACAGTATTCTTGCCTGGAAAATCCATGGACAGAGTAGCCTGGTGGGTTATATAGTCCATGGAGTCACAAAACGATCGGACATTACTTAGCAACTAAACAACAGCAACAATATCTTTACGCAAACCCACCTGACCATCTCTTTTTGGATTCAGCCTGGGTCAAAAGGAAATTAGTGGAAAGTTTGGTTTAGTCTTGGGGAGCAATATTGACTGTCTAGAGAGAGTCACAGAGAAACACGGCAGCAGAAATGCCTGTGTTAAATGTTGGCTTCTAGGCCCTGCTCCAGGCTTCCTGGGGATGAAACCTGGGACTCTGAATTTTCTCCAAGGCCCCAGCAGCCTCAGTGTGTCTAAATTACAACCCTGAAGTGGCTTGTGATTCACTTCTACCCAATCCAGAATTCTCCTGACTCTGCCAAGTAGATGCATATTTTGCTGTCACCAGCATGAAGCGGAGAGTGGAAAGGGGGTGAGGGGTTCCTGAGTGGTGGGGGCTGTGATTGGGCTGGGCCACTTGGGTTACTGGTTCTTTTTTTCTTTTCTTAATTTATTTGTATTTTTTTGGCTAAGCTGCACAACTTGTGGGATCTTAGTTCCCTGACCAGAGAGGGAACCTGCATCCTCCGCAGTGAACCTGAAGAGTGCTAATCACTGGACCGCCAGGGAATCCCAGGTTTCTGGCTCTTGTTGCCACTCACGGTTGACACTGAAGGTCTCTGTGTTCTTGTGGACAGGCACCCTCTCCGTGGGGGAGACACATCCCTGCCTGCGTGCAGGTTCTTCCAAAACATCATCCAATCTCCAGTGTTAACTTGCTCCGGGGGCTCCTTGCCTGGGCTCTCCAGGTTCCCAGCCTGCTGTGGTCAGTCATGCCCCGCCCCGCACCACTGGGGCTCTGAACAGAGCCCAGAACTTGCTGCCGTTACCCCCACTTCCTCTCTGTCTGCTGCCACTGTCTGGAAGCAAATCATCTTAGCCCTCAGTTTGTATAAGGCCTTTATTTCCTCCCAACAGTAAAAGTTACCTCTCAGGCACCCATGCTTCCAGCAAAGACAGCACTCAGTGACATCATATGGTGATATTGAGGCAATTTCTCTCACTAGAGGAGAGGGGGGGAAAGCACCCCACTAGTTTAATCTCTGGTGGCATAACTCTCAATACCAGAATTTCTGCTAAAGGGAATCAGAGGTTTTGGTTTTGACGTTTCCCACCAGTGTCTTATCCGTCCTGGCCTGAGAACTGTCATGCCCAGGAGGATGGGGGCTCTTTCAGAAAAGCTGACGTGTCTGGGGCATTTCTGCATGTGGAACTTTCAGCTCAGGGAGGAAGCCTGCAGACCGCAACAAAGGAAAGCAAAGACAGCAAAGATAGCAAAGAAAACTGGAGAAAGTTCTTCTTAGGGCTGTTAGTAAACGTTACTAGGAGTACCTTATCGAGGCCCCCCAAAAAGGATCATAGTTTGTCAAAGATTACACAGCAAATTGGATATAAAGTCTCAAGTGGAAAAAGAAAAAAGTTCATGGACCTGACACGTTGCATAGGGCCCAAATCATGACGAATCTGCACTGTCACGGTCCACTGAAATTCATCGTATCAACAAACTTGATAAAAATAGATATAACCCAGGGACTTCCCTGGTGCTCCAGTGGTTAAGAATTTGCATTGCAATGCAGGGGACGAGATTTCCATCTCTCATCGGGGAATTGAGATCCCACATCCTCTGGGGCTGCTAAGCCGATGCATTGCAACTTCTGAGCCCGAGTGCCACAGCTAGAGGGCCTGAGCGCTGTAACTAAGACCCAACACAGCCAAATAGATAAGATTGTACTCATTAAAAAAAAATAAATATAGTCAAACAAACAGTAAAGTTAGGCTTCTCTGTTGTCTAAGAGCTTTACACTGATCATCTCATTTAATCCTTAAGAAACCTCTATGAAGTATGCAGAGGTATTATTAAAAATATGTCACAACCAGTAGGGTAATATAAATAAATGACTCAAAGCATGGACCAAATATTTAGAAATATATTCCACTATCCCTAGTTTATCTCAAAATAAACTAAGTTATGCTATAAACGAGTTTGCTACTCAACGAGTGATATAAATTTTTGAGAAAATCTTTAATAAAATTATTCTGATAATTTGCAAAATCTTGTCGATGTTTAGAAATGGTTGGTGTGGAATCCTTCAAGACAGGGCTGACGTTCTGGGGTGATTTGACATGGAAAACTGCCTTGAACTTTTCCAATGAATTCCTTCAAAGTGGTGGTCATTGGGTGTGTAATCTCAACAAGTTGAGAATTTCTCTTCACATCAATTGTTTCTGGTGTTAAATCTTCAACTCCTGATGAACAATAACAACGAAAAAATTTTAAGTATTCCAGCCCTCATAATGCTGTTTGAAAGTTTTTCTATATCCAATATTTAAAAAAAAAATCATTTGTCTGTGGCCGTGCTGATTATTTTTGCAAGAGCTTTCCTCTCGCTGTGGAGAGTGCGGGCTGCTTTCTAGCTGCAGTGCACAGGCTTCCCATTGCAGTGGCTTCTCTTGAGGCAGTGCACAGGTTCTAGGGCGCTCAGGCCTCAGTAGCTGAGGCATGTGGGCTCTGAAGTCGTGGCTCCCCAGCTCTAGAGCACAGGCTCAATAGTTGTGGTGTGTGGGCTTAGTTGCTCTGAGGCACGTGGGATCTTCCTGAATCAGGAATCAAACCTGCATCTCCCACATTGAGAGGCAGATTCTTTACCCCTGAACCACCTGGGAAGCCCTATACCCAATATTTCTATTATTTTTTATTTCTAAATCACAAAAAATAATTTAATCCATTGGTTTCATTTCATTTATGCTCCCATGAAAGTGAAAGTGAAAGCAAAAATTGCCCAGTTGTGTTCAACTCTTTGCAACCCCATAGACTACAGTGCATGGAATTCTCCAGGCCAGAATATGGGAGTGTGTAGATTTTCCCTTCTCCAGAGGATCTTTCCAACCCAGGGATCAAACCCAGGTCTCCTGTATTGCAGGTGGATTCTTTACCAGCTGAGCCACAAGGGAAGCCCAAGAATATATGCTCCCATATATCTTTACAAATACCATTTAGTAGTGTCAGGATTCTATAAATTTAAATCACTTTAGAATTAATTTATTTTCATTTTGCCCTCAAATAACAGATGCATTTAATATAATAATTTAAGATATTATATTTTTCTCTTGGAATTAATATTTATTTTTGTTTTATTATAAGAAATCATGCCATAGTTCTTTTGTATAGCATCTTTCACTTCTCTTCCATTTATTGAATTAATAGTATAAATCTGAAAGTATTAAAATCTCTACTTGATAATAAGACTATAGGTTTGTAATAAAAAAAATCTCCACATGAAAAGATACTAAACATCACTAATCATCAGGGAAATGCAAATCAAAATCACAGTAAAACATCACCTCACACCTGTCATAATGAAAGTGAAAGTCGCTCAGTTGTGTATGACTCTTTGAGACCCCGTGGACTGTATCCTGCCAGGCTCCTCTGTCCATGGGATTCTCCAGGCAAGAGTACTGGAGTGGGATTGGACCCAGGGATTGAACCTGCGTCTCCTGCATCGCAGGCAAATTCTTTACTGTTTGGGCCATCAGGGAAACTCACCTGTCATGATGGTTATCATCAAAAGGACAACAAATAACAGACGTTGGTGAGGATGTGAAGCAAAGGGAACCCTCATGCACTCTTGCTGAGAATATAAATTGCTGCCGCCACTATGGAAAACAGTATGGTGATTCCTCAAAAAATTAAAAATAGAACTATCATAGAGATCAGCAACTCCACTTCTGGGGCATTTTCTGAAGAAAACAGAACACTAATTTGAAAAGATATAGGCACTGTTATATTCACTGTAGCATTATTTACAACAGCCAAGCTATGGAAACAACCTGTCTCTGTCAATAGATGAATGGACAAAGAAGATGTAACATATATATACACACACACAGTGAAATATTACGCACCCACAAAAGAATGAAATCTTGCTGTTTGTGAAAACCTGGATAGACCTTGAGGGTGTTATGCTAAGTGAAATAACTTATGGAATATAATAAGTCAATTGCACTTCAAATTTAATAAATATTTATTGTATCTATGTAATATAAATATAATGTAATATAAAATATAATAAATAGAAATACTAAAATTTATCTTAGAATATCCCTAATTAGGGCTTCTCTGGGGGCTCAGACGGTAAAGAATTCACCTGCCATGTGGGAGACCTGGGTTCGGTCCCTGGGTTGGGCAGATCCCCTGGAGGAGGGCATGGCAACCCACTCCAGTATTCTTGCCTGGAGAATCCCCATGGACAGAGGACTGGCGGGCTGCAGCCCATGGGGTCGTAAAGAGTCGGACCCGACTGAGCGACTAAGCACAGCACATCACATCCCTAATCAACCATAAAACTCCCCCAAATATTTACTTTTCCAAATATTTTACCACTTCCATTAAAATGAACGTGTGAGAGCTCAAAATTTCCAAACTGCGACTGTTGCACCACAGATTCTCCATCAAGTCCAGAAGCCTTCCAATTTTCATTGTCTTGATTATTCTCAAGTCTTGAGATATAATGCTTAATTCTCTCTGATGTTTGATGAAAGAAGGTAAATTAAAAGTTTGTCAGAAAAATACTTTAAGATTGACATGATTCACATTTTTTAAAAATTTATT